GTGTCTTTACAGCCTCAGCTGACTTTGGTGTCTTGACAGCCTCAGAGGACTGTGGTGTCTTGACGGCCTCAGCGGACTGCAGTGTCTTTACAGCCTCAGAGGACTGCAGTGTCTTTACAGCCTCAGTTGACTGTGGTGTCTTGACGGCCTCAATGGAGTGCGGTGTCTTTACAGCCTCAGCTGACTTTGGTGTCTTGACAGCCTCAGCGGACTTCGGTGTCTTGACGGCCTCAATGGACTGCGGTGTCTTTACAGCCTCAGTGGACTTCAGTGTGTTGATGGCCTCAGTAGACTGCAGTGTCTTTACAGCCTCAGTGGACTGCAGTGTCTTTACAGCCTCAGTGGACTGCAGTATCTTGACAGCCTCATCAATCACGTGGGAGACGAGCATTTTGCCTGCCTGAGAGATGGCAGTGTTGGTGGAGGAAGGAGAGACACAGGAGGCAGATCTCATGCTCTCCTCTGACCTATGTAGGGAGCTTGATCCTGTCTCTGTGGTCCGGTCTTCTCCAAAATCATCTGCCTCTGTCTCCATGTTCTCTGGATTCCAGAAGCTTTGGCATATTTTTGTAATCTCCTCATCGATATTCTGATCAAATGATGTGATCATGTCTGAGATAGCAGAGTCAGGGGAGGAACACCAAGAAGAGTCTGTCATCCTGCCGTCCTCACTCATGGAACACCAAGAAGAGGAACTTGTCGAGATGTTGTCCCCATCCATGGAAGACCAAGCAGAAGAACATGTTGATGTGCTCTCCTCTCTGATGATGGGATGATGGGTACAAGGGCGAGTGAATTCTTGGTCATCACAATGCATCAGATCATTAAGATCCTTAGCAGGCTTATCGATGGTTCCTGATACAGGGATGTTGGTAATCTCAGTGGACTCTGAGTTTATGGAGACAGCAGGAGACCTGGAGATTTTGTCTATGTTCTCTGCTTCTTTATCCGTGTTACTTGAATCAGAAATCTGGAGGAGAAACACATTTTGTTATTCTAATGCTTTCGTTAGTTACAAAATGAAGGGAAGGAAAGAACGCAGCAGAGATGTTGAGCTGCCCGAGACAGTTCATCATCAATCCTTAATAGGTTCTATGCTGGTCTGTTCCACCTGTTATATCTGGTCGGATCTAATCCAATCTATTCCTATGTACTTTTAAAGTGGTCGCACTTATTAGAATTTCCATGTAAAAACATCCTCACCTTTGAGATGATATTGCGGAATAAGCGTAATAAATGTTTGCTCTTCTTTGCCTTGGTCTCCGCAACAGGCCGAGACCAGTCCACAGAGCTCTGGCTGAAGGTTTTTTCATCCTTATGACCAGAGTTGATGGACTGATGGGTGTTGGGTGTTATCCCTTAATAATTATACTATATATCACACAGCCCCCTTTCAAATGTAATGAACTGACTCAAGATTTATAACATTGTCACATTATATGTACCGCATTTGCACATCATCAATTTACTTGTAAACATACTGGATTAAATATGGATACATCAACACAAGTTATCTGTTGATCGTTCAGATGTCTTGCAAGTAAAGTTTTCATCAAGTCTGTGACAGATGAGCAGACGCTGCCTCTCACACTGAAACTCACTGCTGATGTTTCACAGAATTTCCTTCACAAAAAACGTCTTCATCACCTTTTTATGTGTTAAATTGTGAAAATTCTCTAAATCTCTAAACTCTAAACCAATTTAGTGCTTAAGCTTCTGTAAAGTGCGTTTACTTACTGGTCTCTGGTGAGCTGGTTTTACTGATTTGCAGATTTTATTATATATTTTTATTATATATTTTATTATATTTTTTCTTCTTCTGAGCTTTCTGGCTTCAGGTTTTCTCAGTTGGAGTAGTGTGTTATTGTCTAGTGGTTAAATGTTTGAATTTCAGGTAATCTCGTGTTCGCTGTGGAGAGTAGGTCTTGACTGAACTTCTGGGTCAGTCGGCAGGACAGAACACTGTCACAGAACTCTGGGTGTTCAAGCAGAACTTGTGTTTGCACTAGTGACTGTATTATTTACATTTGCATTTACAAATGAATATAAACAACAACAAAATATATATATATGTTTATATTCTATGTATATAAGAAAGAAGAAAGAGAGACACCAAAATCAGTTCACCACAAGTGATGCAAGTACTTATTATCTATAGATAGCAGTCAACCACAGATCACAGATGTACTGGCATCCCCCACCATTTTGTGGGGAGTACCATGTAACAGTACCATTCCTGGTTAGATTTTCGGATGCTATTCCCCCTCTTTCATCCCTACGTTTCCTGTCTCCTCTGTCTAATTCAAAAATATATATTTTGTCATGTAACACTTTTCATAAAGAGGGTACTAAACAAATACAATCTAGATTAACAAAAACTATGGGTCAGGAGAAAAAACAAAATATTTGTGATTCAATAAGAGGAAAGAAGTAGAGAAACCAGGTTTATAACTACAAGCGCTCACTCTGGAGTGTTAGTTACTTTACGCTTTAATTACTTGTTTAATGAAATGTATGGGGTTGATTGTTCTTATGTAGTTTGTATGATGCCTTGTATGATGCCAATATTGTTGTTATACATTCATGCCAATAAAGCTAATTTGAATTGAATTGAACTGAGTGCAGATCTTGGCTGGGTCTGGCTGGGCATGTGTGGATAGTGCAGGACAGGGTAGGGCAGTACAGAGCAGGGCGTGTGTAATGAAGGTGTAATAATCAGACAGGCGATATTGAGACATACCTTGGACAATTCAAAAACACCAGTGACGTAAAATGTCAGTTTCAAAGTGAAAATGGCAACAAATGAATCTGCCGTCACTAACGTGACTGTCAGTTGTCCCTAGCAGAAACAAGACTCCAAACTAAAGCATACTATAACACATTTCAAGTTAGTTTAACTTGGAAATGCAATTTCATCTGCCTCCTTAAAAAAGGCTGGTCAACTCATCATGAAGAATGCTTTTGTTTCAACTCACAAATTAAGGTTCATAAAGTTGATATAACTATAGTGTTCTAGTTGTCTCAACGTTGTTTTTTTACAACTTGTTTCAACTTCATACTTTTGAGTTTAAACAAATAATTATTTAAATTTATTAATGCAGAATAACTAGTCTTACCGACATACATTTCTGCATTATTCCAGCTCACAGTTAGAGTTAAAACAACTTAACTACATTTATACTACTTTCCATTTCAAGTTAAAAGGATTTAAATTCCAAATTTGTTTCAATTTACATGTAAAAGGCCATTGTCAGGTACACACTCTAATGGTGGCACTACTTTTTCCTTGTTTACCACAAAAGTATTTGGGTTGGAATTTGAATATATGAGGTATCTGCAGTGTAAAAATATATATATAGTAGAGATGAACGAGTACACCACTATCTGTATCTGTAAAATTATTTGTATCTATAGCCGGAATGGGCAGAGCTTAACCTGGATGTGGGGGGACTAACTGGATGTTAGTTATTTAAGCCTGAAATTGGTATGGGTTAATCAGAAGTTCTTATATTTATTAGAAAAGTATTTACAGAATATCCTTAGAATTCAGCTTCAAAGCAATATTTTTGATTATAATAGTAAGTGAACAATAATCTGATGATACTCATACTTGTAAAAAAGTATCTGCAGCAGATACTCGTTTCAATTGAGTACTCACTCAACCCTGATAAATAGTCAATAATGTCCATGTTTTAACTTTGCCATGGTTTAAAGAGGTTTCTAATAAACTGAAAAGACACAGCAACTAGGCTATTTTTTTCTCTTGCTCCCATCCTCACACACCCGCCATTTTTTTCAACTGATAAATTACATACTCAAGTTCGATCAACACATATCTGACAAAAGTCTACTAAAACTTGTTAAATCTCTTTAAGTTAAAAAGAAAACGTAAGTGGACATTACTAAATGGGGCTGTAATGATTTACAGTGCAGCTGTTGATGTGCAATGTCAGCAGTCAATGGCAGTATAAAATAGAGTAGTCAGTAAAAAAGAGTTTTCAAACAATCTAAATCACAGAGGTCCTTGAACATTCAGTCAGAAATGTACACAAATATTAGGCTGATGGTTCCAGTAGAATGCGAAATTAGCTGAAGATTGATAGTCACACAATATACAGCTACAATATATTAAAAGGAAACTTAAAGGGGCTATATGTAGTTTTTCAATAAATCACTTAATACATCAAATTTTTACTTCCTTTTTGTCAATGGGCGCAGACCTCTCTTAGAAATGAAGCACACATCTGTTTTCTCTGTTGCTTGCATCAGCCATTGTTCTGCTTTTAATGTGAGGACACTGGGTCCGGATGTAGCCCTGTGTGCGCTCCCGAGCCTCTCTCAGACTACAGCGACAACACCGCAGCTAACAACATGCTGTCCACTAACACCACAAAACAACCTGCTCCCAGCACAACATAAACTCCACATAAGGATAGAAAACAACAATAAAGTTTTTACGTGCTGAAGCCCATCAGACCAAACAAAATTCACATGATATCCGTGAAAAGAGTGAACATCAGAAAGGCTGGAAAAACACAGAGATCCACATTACTTCACCAACTAACACAACCCACATTACTATCCTGTGTACCACCAGTATTATGTCAAAGTATTGACTTAACCTGCAAGAAAGGATGTAACAGTAAAAAGCAAATGTGGAGCGATTTGTTTATAACGTTAGCCTACAGTGATATAAGGCAGGAGCGGCCAGCTAACGCTACATTAGCTCGGACCTGCCGCTGCTTCATAACGTTAAATTTAGATTTATTGTCTTTTTACCAATACCCAGGTACACAGCTTCTCCACTGTCTCAGTCGTGTAACTAACATGACCCACATAATATACAATACTGCAACAAAACAGCGATAACAACACAGAGGAAGAGCCTTCCGCTAACGTTACAATGATGTTACTTACTGCGGTCTAACCGTTAAAAAGTGTGAACACAATCTGATTTATAATATTCAATCTAGCTCACTAAACGTTTCATTATCATCCAATACATTTAGCTGTGTTGACATTTCTGAGCCTCAGAAATGATACACAGATAGTAATGTTAGCCTACTGAAAAGCAGCAAGCGAGTTAATGCCGATGTATCACATCAGCTAAATGCAGGAAAGGTAACGTTATTATGTAATGAGCATGGATTAGTTCAACCTCAAGCAGCTGATAAAAAATATTTCTGTAATGTTGCAGTGGTAGTTTACCTTAGTTTCCAGCATGTTGTGTCTCTTCCTGTCTCTGTGTAGCCGTTGTCATACTGCCTTTTTTCCCCGGAGTATTGTGCCAATAAGCTGGTGTCTCACTGTGCTGTATGAAAGGTACGAAGCCGGTGTTGATCTGCCTCTGAGCAGGGAACGTTTAAGTAACAGAGCCTGAACATGTCTGCAAATCCACAGTCAGTGCCAGTGTTTTGTGTCAGTGTTTTATTTTTATTGCATTGGCTTGGTTTCTTTTTTTAAATTTAGCCCTTTATTATATGTATGCAGGAATGTTTTTTTTCATTTAGTAAAGCACTTTCTAATAGTTATTTGGAAAAGCTGGTTTAATAAAGCTTGTTATTTTTATAACTTGTATTTTAGTGGCCTAGTTGTGTTTGTGTGTGTGTGTATGTGTGTGTGTGTATACTCCTGGATGTCATTGTGTAGTACAGAATGCTCCTATTTACAGCAGGGATGGAAACATGTGGTAATAATGGTGACATTTACCACTCAAAATTCTTAGATATTTCTAATATATATATATAGATATTTCCTTGATTTCAGACAGAGGTGGACTAAAGCAGCTTCTCATCTCTAGCATGGTGACCGTCTGAAATGAACTCACTGGCAGGTTTTATCACTTGTAGATAGGTGGCTAATTAAGCCTGTGTTAATGTTGATTTATTTTAAAACCATCTCTGGTAATGTTGGCACGATGTGCAGGATGTAACCCACCAAGTTTAAATTCTAAATGGCAATGTTTCAAACTTCTGTTAATAAAAATTACATGAAACTGAATTTGGTTTTTAGTGTTTTTTCTTAAATACAATAACTCATCTTTACATGTGTGTGTGTGTTTGTCAGTTCCAGGACCACTTTTGGAGACAACAGTGGGTGAAGATGTGAACACCATGCTCCTCCTGAATCTACTAAGTGGGACGGAGTACAGTGTTCAAGTGACGGCTTCCTACCCGACAGGACAAAGTGAACCACTGCTAGTAAATGCAAAGACATGTAAGCATCATTATCATACACCTGCAAAGACCATTCATACATTGTTGGAAAAATGAGTAGTAAATGGTGGATATGATATCAGATTTTTATTTGCATGACTGTAAATAGAATAGGCTGTCTTACATTTAGTTTGCTTAAGTTGGTTTGTTGAAGTTAATAAGAAAAAAACAGATGCAAAATTTTAATTGAGCTTTCCCAGATGATAACCTAATTAACTTTTGGAAAGTCATACCAAATTTCAAAATGAGTCAATCCAAAATGAGCCCTAATGCGGACTATACTTCACCTTACAGTCTAAATTTGTCACAAAAGACAGTGTGAACATCAGAAAGAGGAAGCAGCAGCTGAAAAGAAAAGAAAAAGTGTGAAAGGTGCAACACGCGTTTTAACTGCCTGCTGATAACGAATGCTTTAATTTCCATTAAGACTTTAGCAAACAGACAGATACACAGAAGCATATTAATATTTCTTAGTCAGCCAGTGTGAACAATCCTTTTTGCATATAGATTTGGTATAAGTAGGTGCAGTAAGACCTAATGCAACGTCGCTTTCATCTAAAACAAATAGACTGTCAGGAGAAAGGAGAAAGAGAGATTAACTGGTGATACAGAGAGAGAGAGAGAAAGAGAGAGAAAGAAGAAAAGTGTATGTAGTGTAGATATCTGTGTGGGTGCATGTGCATGCATCTGTTTGTGCATTCTTTCTTTGAAATACTCTCAGAATAGTGTCACTGTCAATCACCAAACAGTCATGTTGTCTTTTTGGCTTACTACCATTCAGTGTGTATGTGTGTGCGTGTGTGGTTTTAAGGAAACTGCTGTATCATCCCCTTCTTTAAAATCTACTGTTGTTTTTCGGGCCTACTGTCTGATTGGCCAGAAGGGACTCACCAAATAGGGGGTGACATCGCATGGGATGAAAACAAACATACTGTCATGAATTTCTGGTGCACATTAATGCACACAGCAAAAAGAGATTTTTGCTTTTTTCTTGAAAAGCTATTTCCCTTAACTTTAGAGGAAAATATAGAGAACCAAAATCTACGGATGGAAATTAGCTTGTAGCTACAATCTGACATGTTTACATGCATGTATTCCATGTTTGTTCATTAACATGTACTGTCCCAGTTAAATAAAATGTAAGGACTAAATGTGGAGTGATTAATAGATTTATAATCAACAATTAAAGCGGATTTCTTTTGATACACAGATTACTTATCAATTTGTGCTGCAGTAATATGCTGTCTTTCATTTGTTCATTAATCATCCCCCTGTTGGATGAGTGACAACTCCCTCATGCCTTCCTGTCACTATACAGCTCTCATCATGAAAGATCATTTCATAAGGAGAGAAAGATTAAATATGAGGCATTGACATGTAGATTTATCAGCCCTCCATATTTAAACTTTACACCCTGTCCCTGGTGTGGCACTTTAGGTTGTTGCCTCTATCTCACCTATATTTTGCTCTACATAAACTCCATTTCAAGTACAAAAAATCTGGAAATACATTTTTGGATTTTCAGTCATTTACGCACTTTTCTAGTCCTATTTGTGCCCATTATTTGTTACATTTTTTTGTATTTTGGCAGGGGGACATAAAACAGGACTCATCACCAAATATTCAGCAGAAAACATATTCTCTATCAGATGCAAGTAATTCACAGTGCACTGATACATTTTAGATGTACCAGATTTTCCCATAATACACAGGGCATATTTAAGCTCATTATCCATATTTGTACTCTACAGTGGAGGAATTCTGATTTATTAAGGGGGATGCATTCAGTCATTTGTCATTTTAATAAGGGAGATGCCGTAACATATTTCCCTGGGTACACTGCATTCATTACAATCTTACCATGGGCGCCAACTGGCATGTTTGCATCAATAAATTGCACATACTAGCATATAGCATAAAAACGTAATTATTGGTACCTTGAGAACCATTGAATGAAATCAAACTGTTTCCCCCAAATGAAGTTTTATGTGGTTTGTATTGGGGTGCAGGCACTAGCTGTAGAGTAAAGAATTAATTTTCCTCTGAACCACTGAAGGGTGCTCAGTCAATCAGGTCTCAAGAATTAGCACAATGTTGTAAAATGGGAATGCCGTAATATGTTTTTTCAACAACAGAAAGTAAGTGAAAGTTGAACTGTGAGACGGGAAACAGGCTGAAGTTGAAAGAAGAAAAAGTATAGTGGAAACTAGGGTGGGGGTTTGGAGGTTGGGAAGGCAGATGGGTGCAAATATTTGGCTTCAAGTCTGGCAACCTCAACTCTCTCTCTCACACACACAGAGGTAATTTCTGACTGATTGCAGTATCTCCATATGGTTTCCCATGGTTTATATCCATAGTACACATTTTATTTTGACCTTTGGATAATTTAAATGCTACCACCTCCTCAGTTCCCTCACCTTTTTGTACTTTTTATATTTTACTCTCCCCTTCTCTAATTATATTATCCTTCTTTGTCCAAGTTTCGTGTTTTTTTCGAAGTTTAAACCTGTCTTTGCATACTTCCACTTAAGCCTGGTAGTGTACTCCATCTCAGCAAAACGCATTTGATGTGTTCTTAGACTTGTGCTGATTATTGCAAAATATAAAAGTGTCATCAGACGTGTCTCAGACGTCCCTCAAAACAGGAAACAAAGTCAAAGTTATCCAAAAACAAATAAAATTGTGGAATAATATGCAAACGTTTCATATGGCTTTTGTTTGGAGTAAGCTGCCATCCTTATACAGTTTCTTATTGTCTGTACACGTGCGCCTAAACATAATATTAAAAACATATGTCTGTATTCATGTGACAACATGTGCGTTTGTACATGCTAGTGTGCTTTTTGCACATCTTTGTTTATGAGAGTGAGTTTGTGTGTGTCTTTGCATATTATTGAATGCAATGATGGGTTGTCATATGCATTATTCACTAGTATTTAAAACAAGGCACCTGCCATATGGTCCCAGCATAAAATATCCATTTACTATCCAAATTTATTTTTATACCGTCAGCAAATTCCGTTAACAAGGGGGAAAAACGAGTGAAAGGGTAATAGAGAGAGAAAGAGAGAGATTGGGAGGGAGGGAGAGGAACAACGAAGAGAGTAACTCCTGGGAGGATTGCTTGCTTATGGTACACTGAAATCTCACAACCAAACAAGCTTCAGATATTTAAATTGCTCTTGGTGTTTTGCATTTTGCTGCATCATGCCTCATTGTTCCCCCACAAGACAGTTAAACACCAAGCCTGACTAATTGTGTTACTTTATGATTTGTCCTAACATATGCCCTAGAAGTGAATGTAGTAACTGGAACTGTCAGGATAGATACATTCCCACCATTTACACTTAATATTATTGGTACATTGTTAATCTCTTAAGCTATCAGAAGACAAAAACAGAGATGTGTGCTATTTGTGTATTTGATGCATAATACAGACAATGTAGCTCTAACTCTATCTTTAGCCTAAACCCAACCTTAATGCTGACTGTTCAGATTGAGCTCTACACTACTTTGTGCACTATTATTAGTCAATCAGTCAAAGTTTTGGTGACACATTATAAAATATGTATTTGATATGAAGTTGCATATAACCATTACTATTTCTCTCTGAACAACCAAAGTGACGTGTAGTTTACTTAATCATATGTGTCTGCAGCACAATGAATAAGAATCAGAGTTTACTTCATGAGTATACTGTAGTTTGGTGCAGACTTAGTTGCCTACATTATTCATAGCTTGAGCAAACCCAGCCATAGTGCTATATGGATGGGTGTCTGAGTCTCTCCCGGTTGGAGTCTTGGGTGAAGTGGGAGAAGGAGCTGGGTGGTGGATTGTTTTTACCAGACGAGAGACAATAAGGAAAAACCCTGGTTAGGTCAGAAAATGTGTTTTGTCAGAAACCAATATTTTTTTCAATACTGTAAAACATTACTTATAACTTACAATGTACATTACTGCAAGCCATTCAAAAGGATAATAATCAAAAGTGACCATTTTATCAGACTTTTACTTTGATGTTCTGCTTCATGTTTTTATTTGTTTGGGAGAAAATACTTGGCTATTGATTGTAGTGCTGCTGATTGTTGCACAATGTTCATGTGTCATTTGATAGATTTTGTAATTAAATGTAATTCTCTTAGAGATGTCTTGTCTGTACAGTAATTTGTAATCAACAGACAAAGGGTTTTTTTTTGTGTGATTGCACATAGAACATCAGTGAGTCTTACATGAAAACAGGAATTTAAAAAATAGATGCTGAATCTGATCTTACTCTCTGTCTCTAGTGTTCCTCGGTGTCTCTGGCTTGTCAACCTACCAGGTGCGTCCCAACAGCATTTGTGTCCAGTGGCAGCCTCTTCTACATGCCACGTTATACAGAGTCTTCATACAGTCCACACTCAGTAAGTTAATGACAGTGTTTGGGTTTGTGTTTCTCATCTGTATTCTCAAAGGTGGTGAAAAGTGAGTTAATTTCTTGATTTAATGCTTTTATAAGTTTTGCCTTTGACACCAGACAGGCAGCTCAATCCAAGCAGACTGACTTATCTGTTCTGACTTCAAAATAAGCGTAACTTCATCATTGTGCTAAAATGTGGTCCGAATTGCACCTTTTAACTGCTGTTTGGAAAAAAAACTACTAATGAAAAAAGTTACATTCAGACAACGTTTTCAGAAACAAGTAGAAATCCTTGAAAAAATGCATGTACACAGGCAACAGTTTTCTGTTTTCACCAACATTTCAGTGTGCACCTGCAGTCATCCCAACATGTTTCATCATGGCTTTTGCCAGTTAAGTGACTGGAATACAATTCAGTCAATAAATCAAATGTTTTACTACAGATCTGATATTTGGTTAGGTGGCTGGATTTAACTTCAAATTCGGAATATGTTACCTTATAGATTTACAGTCTGTCCTCATGAAAATGTCTCCTCTGTTTATTATTAACACAAAGACGAGTCAGCTCAGGACTGGTTGGATGTGTGTGTTGGTTACATATACCTTTCACAGTCATCTGGATTCATATTGATATGAGCCTCTGTGGAAATAAGACTTATATATTTCTGTCATTGCAAAGGATATTCATAAATCTCTCTGTTTGCTGAAAGGAAGGGAGATATGATATGAATGCGTATGGGAGGAAACCGCTTGAGAATTGCCCATGTTATTGTGTCAAAAATAAAACAAATAAAGACACCGAATATGACCTAAAGAAGCTGTTTAATGCACAGCTCATTTACGTTAATACCTGGAAAAAGGGAGACAGAGGAAGAAATGAAGGAGGGAACAAAGGAAGGAGCTCTTAAAAAAGAAAGAAGTAAACTCTCATACATATCTACCAGAAACTAGTTTAATCAAATCACTATTCAAAACATCTATTTAAACCTCACCTTTGTTACATTTGTCCCATTGAATCAAATGTCGAAAATATAAAACCCTTAATAAAACCACTGTACAATTTGTCCTTTCGACAAGAGAGTATTTTGGAGCTGGTCCACTCACAGTGAACAGCTTCAAGTTCAAGTTTTATTTTTATTTGTCCTCAGAGGGCCGTTGGTTGTGCAGCACAGGTTCGTATTAAATCGACAGTAAAAAATAACACAGTTGAAACAGTGACAATAAAGATATTTTTCTTTATAGCCGTATGCTTATTCTTTCGATTATTTATCTGTCCATGAGAAAATCTTTTCCTAAGTTTATTTTTTAAATGTCAGCATATGTTAAAAGGTCACATAGGAAACAGAATCAGGCACAGTGGCGATGGGTTTTTTTTTTTTTTTTACTTTACCTCTGAGATGATAATAATAATGAGAAAAGAGATATGGGGACATGGCAATACTTAATAAGTCTTCATAATGATAGGTCTATGGGGCCATCCTCATTTCTTTCAGTGAGTCCACTGTGTTGGTGCAGTGGGAGATCATGTCATACACAGCTCAGGAAAGAAAATGGAAGAAACAGAAAGATGGCTTGGCTCAATACTTTCTGTGGCACAATAAAATGTCATCCAATGTACTTAATAATGTGCAAGTCTGAAAGTTGTACAAACTGGGGTTAAAATAACCAACTGTAGGCCATCTACCTATAAAAGAGCTTTCTTGTAATCCTTCTGTTGCCCACAAAGTAGTACTTGGTTTAAAAAGTTAAACCAGGAATAGTGACATGACACTTTCAGTCTTTACGCTAAGCTATGCTAAGCTAAGCTAAAATAAGTTAAGCTAATCATCTTCTGGCTTTAGCTTCTTAGTGTGTAGATTTAAAAAAAGGCAAAATGTTCCTTTAAAATACATTTTCTGCCTTTTCTCTTGTTGAAATCTGCAAACTGTGAAAGAAATGTACTTTCACCAGAGTTGAGCATTTTGAAAAAATAAGTTAATTTATTTCAATTATGCTATTCATTATTCGGTTGTGTCGCACAGGTGTGTCCACACCGTATTGCTTAGGCGTGTCAGTGAGGCAGCACGCACAATATTAAGGCGATGACAGAGCCACACCTGAATTGAAAATGGTTAATATGTTAGCTCTGTTTTAAAATGACTTTTCCAGACAGGGTTCCAGTTGATGGTTGGAGTATAGGTTGATTAAAATAAATGGGAAGCTGGAGCGCTAGCTAGGAAATGTAGAGATTAGAGACATGAATAAACCTGCTTCCACTTGAAGGACCATGCACAGTAAGTGATGTGTGTGTTCACCTTTCACTGTCTTTTACTATCAGAGAAATGACAGCAAAATGAGAAATCTTCCTTCCCACCTGTACTTTTTTATTTTTTATCTCCTGTCTGAGCAGTGACTGGAATTGAGAGATTTGGTTTAATCCAATCAGAGCCAACCAGTAGCTAAAACACCTTCTCAGATGGAGAAGGTTTTCCTAAACTTTCTTATCTATGGCTGTTTCTTGTGTGTGTGGTGGGGGAGCTAATTTCTCACTCCCCAAGATGAGAGACACATTAGGAAACAGATTTGGACTAATAAAACTGACAAATGGCAGCTATTAATATATGTGTATGTGCACTTCCAGTTTGTCCATTTTTGGTTGCCAACATTATTTCTTTTCTGTGATGCTGTCCCTCTGCCGCTTTCTAATATAAACACTAAATTGAAAGTGTTTGCAGTCTGCAATCTGGAGGAAATTGATGAAAGAAGTCAATAATGTGATTCTTCTTCGGTGGATATAATGATGGTTTCCACTGTGATTTTAACTGCAGAATTGTCTAGTTACTTTTTGGTGCACTAGTACAGCTGCAGTTTGTCACCTTGCTTTATTTTACGTTAGATTTTACATTCATTTGTGATAAATCAGCCAGAGATTGGATGAATGTGATGCACTACAGACTTTCATGTATCAAATAAGACATGAAGCTTACCAAGATGAGCTGAAAACTGATATATGTATAAATTGATATTTACCTGTATATCCTACCGTCTGTTACCCTAAAATAAGGTATTAAAATTGTTGTTATTAATAATTATTTTTACTTGTTGCAGATACTCCAATACTACAGTTGAAAGCAAGATTGTCACATCAAGTTTGAATTTCCAGACGACCTGACCGGGTCTGTGCATGGTGGTGAATGAGTGCTACTTCTGTACTTCAGCTGCTAATCTTTAATGTGCCCTTGAACATGAGACCTTGCATCCTGACTGCTCCAATAAAGCTGCTTAGTATCCAACTCTGACATAAAGTGATTACTTAGCAGCTCCCAGGCTCGACAATAATGCCGAACATGGCTGAAAAAGAGGAAATGTGCTCCGCAAATACAGTTAATTTGAAACAGGTGCTTTAGTAGGATTTGAGCCTGATTTTATTTCTGTCGATCTGAAACTTCATCCTTTTTTTGTTTGTTTGTTTTGTTTTTTACTTGCAGATGGTCAGAAGCAGGAAGTCAGCCTGGGAGGTGGTGCTTCCCGACAGTGCTTCTATGACCTCACTCCAAGCAGCCAATACCAGATCAGCATTCACACCCAGCTGCAGGAAATGGAGGGACCTTCTGTTTCCATCACTGACATGACATGTATGTCTCAAATGTTTTATATAAGGAAGTTAACTCTCACTCAACCCTTTTTCCATTTTTTTTACCCATGTCTTGCCCACCTTCACCCCTCCCTCCTTTCTTAGTTCCCATTGAATCCTTAAAATCTCTCTTTACTTCTCATTCTCCATCTGTCCCGCCTGTTAGCCACCTTCTGCCATGCAACTGTCTCTCCTCTGCAACCTTCTCTTCTTCAGTTCATTGGTCAGCTGAGGAGGTGAGGTGATCCTCACAGCTGCAGGGACAAGGAGGGCTCAGCTTACAACCAGGCTTATAGATATATGGATAGATACGTATGGTCTCAGATACAGATAGATAGATTCCCCACAAATTATGTTGTTGATCCACAGATTTTAAGTAGACACCTGTGATTAAATTCAACAGGAAGCTCAACCATTTGATTAAGCAACAGTTATGGGTCCATTGACAAGTGAGCTGAAGTGTTAAGATAAAATAAAGTAGGAAAACTACCAGACAAGTATACTCACTTATGTCCAGTTTTTGAATTTTTACTTCAGTAAAAGTATTGGGAGGAAAACCAACACGTTACTGTGAAAGCCAGAGAAACATTTTTTTCATGAAGTATGTACCTCTTCTGTGGGCAGTCGCTGATGTTTCCAGGATGATTTACTTGCTGTACTTTAGGTTGACAGAACCCACTGTTTCTGCAAAGTAATTGGCTTGGCACTGAGGCATACCTTAACCCGGGGCTGTTTTGACACTAAAAAAACATCCTCTGGTCAGACAGATACTAGACTGATGAAAATAGCCCTATTTGCTGTCCCCAACTTATAGAATGAAGGTAGAGAGATATGTAGAAAGAACAAAGAAAGATTTTTAAGTTTGATTGCTGTAATTCAGAGACGGAAAGAAAGATGGACAGAGCAAAACACAGCAGTTGGATTGTTCATGTATACGTAGATTGTAAAGACAGATTGCTAGAAATCTTGTCTATGTAAAGGTCAAGATCTCAGGTGTAGGAGGGAAGAAGAGGATTAGGAAACTTTCAGCTTAATAGAAACAGGCCACTGCTGTCTCTCAATGGGCCAGCCTATTGACTGTGTTTGTGTATGTGTGTGGTCGGCAGATAAACCCCATGATGATGACACTTGTCACTGCCATCATGATCGATGACCTTGTCATGTTTCCCTGTGTGTGTGTGTGTGTGTGTGTGTGTGTGTGTTTGTGTGTGTCCAGTGCCAGCGCCCACTCAAGCTCCGACTGAACCCCCGACAACAGAGCCCCCTCCCACCATCCCACCTCCTAAAGAGGGTGAGCAAGAAACACAAACTCACTTTCATATCACTTTGTGTGTTGTAGTCAATTCATTACTTTTTACGGTAACTGTATTTTTTTGATTTTGAAACAGGAAACGAGGACGTAATCTAACAGTTCAGTTTTTGTTATGCAACTCTGTACTTTTCACAACTGTGAACTGTGTTTAGTTTCAAAACATCAACAGTGACCTGGAAGGAAATTTGGGAATTTGGTGGGGGTGATATAACATAATCAGGGAGTAAAGTAAATTTTAGGTAAGCAAAAAGAAAAAGTCCGAAGACACTTGAATGTCTCACACAGGAAGTCGACGACACGTTTTCTGTATTCCACAGTGACTTTACTGTGGGCTGCAGCTGATTGCTCCCTCCCAGCTTCCGCTTAACTAATTTCTGTTCAGCCCCAAAATAACAGAGCACTCAGTCCAATTACCATTCACAAACAGGCCACACTGGCTCCAACATAGAGGGTGCACCTGTGAGTGACATGTGACATGTCACTTTATAACTACAGTATGTACATGTTGGCTAGTCTTTTTAAATTCCAAGCTATGTTAACAGTAACACATTGTTTTTAATTTTCTTTACCCAGGAAGCTACGCTATCAGTAAAATAAATGAATCCTTACAAAACACTTAAACACTTACACTAAAATGTCACAGGGAATCCGAACATTGATCATAACAACTTAATACCAGAGGGTTACCCTTTACTTTAAACCTAGATTAACTGTAATTTAAACTACAAGGGTAAACAGCTCATGAACAGGCAAGATACTCTCACTGTAGGGGATTGACAAGTCTGACAAGTCTAGCGAGATTAGGAACAAAGGGTCTCAAGTTCACAGTCCGACCCTTCACTTCCTACCCATACGATACTGCTCCTCTGTTCCTGTCTAATGGTCTCAAGTAAAAGTGCACTACAAACTCCACAGACATGAACTGACACACCTGCTGAGCCTGTCTGTAAGCATTTCTGTCGAAGTTTCTGACCTTTGTCAGACCGATGCCCTCATCTCTAATGACGGGCAACCTTTACTCAGGTCAGAACCACAAAGATGGGGGAAAGAGAAAGCAAAGGTGTGGACTTAAGTGGAAGAGAGAGACAGAAAAAACAACAAGAGGAAGAGAAACAAAGTCATAGGCAGGATGAGAAGGACAGGCTCTGCATAGAGCTGCAGACGGAAAGCAGAGGGGAGTAGACAAAGACAAATGGGAAAGACCGAGTGGTAGCATCAGACTGAGAAAAGTGAGAAAAAGACAGTTTAAAAAAAGGGATAGACAGAAAATGATGTGTGGTGACAGTGTTTAAGACAGATAACACAGACTGAGATATTAAAAAAGTGTAATATCATCATAGCTTTGATCAGAATAAGCCACATGAAACCATAAAGTTTTGTAAAAATATATGATAAAAGCCTTTATTTCTAATACCAGTAGAAAATATTTTTGTATTATTTAATGTTTTATTTTATTTCCTCATCTTCTCTTCTCTTCTCGCACTTTGTTGCATTTCGAATTACAACCACTTCAGGTTATCCCCCCCTGGCTTTTCTGAAAGTTGACATGCTCATGAGCAAGGTTTGGAATTCAGTGAAGAACTTAAAACCACAAAACAACTTTACGGCATAAGATAAGGCTACTGGGAGTCATTTAGAAACCTGAGAAGAATAAAAGAAGGAAAAGTCATGCTTGACTAGGAATAATGGTCGAAAAATCAGTTTTCAAACTCTGAGTTAGAGCGTGTGCATTATAATCTTATAAACTCTACAGTGTGAAAATTAATCTGAGGACGCAGCCTTTGCACATTTACCCTTTTGCAGCAGATGTATATTTGCAGTGCTTCATGCTATGCATATTTGCTCAGAGTCTGAATATATGAGGCAGCGAGTTAACATTCAAGTTATGCTTTGTCCTCCTTTGACCTTCATTCTGTATGAAATTACTTCTTTAAATGTAGAGAAAAAATGATGTGCTGACTAAATCTATATATATCTCTTGTCTGTCCTTTTATCCATCTATCCATCTAGTGTGTAAGGAGGCCAAGGCTGACCTGGCTTTCCTGGTCGACGGTTCCTGGTCCATCGGAGACGACAACTTCATGAAGATCACGCGTTTCCTCTACAGCACTATGGGATCGCTGGATCTGATTGGACCAGATGGAACCCAGGTCAGTCATGTGACTACACTCACACCTAGGACATTTTACCCCAGGGAGACTGTCTCAGAGGAAGAACTCCACAATAAAACAGCAGTGAAATCTTACTTGCATGCTTCTACTGTACCTACCTTCCCCCAAATGCGTCATTGAAAAATGTTTGAGTTCAGTCTGGACCATGTAGGTCTGAATAATGTTGCAGTGAGTCTCCTTGGAGTGCTGGTATTCACATTTAGTGGTTCTTGTGTCTGGTTTAAATGTCTGTAGTCAAAATGACTGTACAGCCAGTTTATACATAAGTTAACCAACAGTAATACAAGTGT